ACTCTATTCTTCATTAACTTTTTCAAATACTTTTGTCTCATATATGTATATATATATGTATATATATATATATATATATATATATATATATATATATATATATATATATATATATATATATATATATATATATATATATATATATATATAAATGGTGACCAGAAAAAAGGGAGACAAACATTTTTAATCATTTTTTATTAAACCAACAAAAATTAAGTAAAACAACGATGAACAACAACAACATGGATCTTCTTCAATAATATACTCAGCCGATTTCGATGTGGCCTCCTCCTGCAGCGATACATAAGCCTAAATGCGTCATGAAATTTTCAGCAATGGGCCGCAGGTCTTCTGGTAACAATTGATCTCATTCCTGGTGCAGCGATTACTTCAGCGACTCCAAACTTTTTTAGTGTGTAGCACAGGCCCTGGCCTCCAAAATTGACCATACACTGTAATCCATCGGATTGAGATCCGGCAAGTAGTGCAGCCATTCCAAAGACGCGATGAAGTCCGGAAAATGGGTTTTACACCAGTATTGAGTCATTTTTGCCTTGTGAACAAGGGCAGAATCCTGTTGAAATGTCCAATTCACATTGCCAAAGTGCTGTTGGGCACTTTGAAGTACCGCAGTATGGAGAATGAAGTGTCTGTAGACTTCTTGGTTGATTTTGACTCCTTGATCCACAAAAAAGAGGGGGGATTTTACCGCTAGTGCAGATTATGCCCCAGACCATGACGGATTTTGGCAGTGTTCGACAATGGCTAACATGCCGGGAGCCTCAACGGACCAGTTCCTGTTGTTTTGGTGGTTTTGCGCCTGCTCAACAGTGAACAGCTTTTCGTCCGTGAACAGGATGCGCTCCTATCACTGAGCAGCGGCCCGCCGCTTGAGTTAACATCTCTAGAGCCGCACACGTTTGTTTTCATTGGTGAGCAATTGAACTTGGAGCTTGAGGTTGAGCTTCCTTTTTGTCATTGCCGATTCACGTTTCATTCAGGTTTCACAGGCTATTTTTCGCATGGAGACCCTCAAATTTTGCTTGACTCGCTTCCTGATGATCTGGCAGTTGGCAGACGTGTTGACGGTGCATCTTCTGCCACTTCCTGGACGGCGACCATCGTGGTCGAGCTCCTTAAAATGATTGATGGCCTTGGACACAGTTTGCTTTAGCACATTAAGTGAGCGAACAATATCACATTGACTCATTCCTTTAAGAAAAAACTTTAAAATCAGGCTTGGTCGGGAAGCAGGTGCGATCACACTCGATAATTGACCATGGAAATAATATTTAGTTGCAAAAAACCGGCCAGATTTTTTAGTCGTTTTAAAAACATTTCAAAAACAAACAAAAAACCGCAATAGGATTGCGTTAGAAAAAGAAAAATAGCTTTTAACGCTAAGAAACTTTAACGCTAGATGATTTATTTATAAAGAAGTTTAAATAACTATTTCATGCTTTGCGTAGTTTGAAAAGTTTAACACATTTGAAACAATTCTTTTCAGTAAGATGAACAAATGAAATAATTAAATTATTGAGTTACTGTAGAAATTCAATTAGCTAGATAGAAGTTAACTAAAAACATTAAATTACTTTGTGAGGAGGAAGCAGAACTGCTTCACAATACCGCTGATGATGTTTAGTGAGAAAGCTTTATAATTTTAATTAGTATTTAAAATAGAAAAAAGTAACTTAAAGTTTAAGTAGAGTTTGTAAGAATGGCTGAAGCAAAAATAATTGAAGTTAGTAAACCAATTTCTAAGAACTTAAAAACTTTTCTTTCTTTGCGAAAGAATCAGTTATTGGGTACACTGAGGAAAATGGATTAGTGGTTAAAACTATTTGTATTAACTTTGATGATTATTAATAATTTCATTGAAAACGAGGTTATTATTGAAAGTATTTTTGTTTACAAAATCAATGGCACAAATTGCTTTAAAAGATTACATTTGAATAAAATACACATACATAAAATTACATACATAAAAAATACATTACATACATAAAAATACATTTTATACATAAAAAATACATCCCTTATATATAAAAAATAAGAATATACTAATAAAATCTATAATATATTTACAAATTGTTGATGTTAAAAAATATAAATTCAATACATTTATTTTTGTAAACAAATAATGTTAGTTTAAAACATTTACTAAATATTATTTCCATGGTCAGTTATCGAGTACGATTGCACCCGCTTCCTGACCAAGCCTGCTAATGCCTTAGCTCCATTAAGCCAATATTTGACCAATTTAGTTGCGGAACATTTTTTTAAAACTTGTTGCATAACATTTTTAAAAAATGATATCGTTTTACAAAATAAAAAAAGATTTTGATAATATCTTTTTATTCTTTTAAATTATTAAAATAAACAAAATATTTATTAAAATTTGAAGACACTTTCTTACTCCGGATTCTATTCTTTATCTCTATAAATCTCTAGTTAGTCCATGTATGGAGTATTGTTACCATATCTTGGGCGGATTTTCTAATGATACTCTTTTTCTTTTTGACAAGGTGCAAAAATGGATTGTTGGACAAAAAACATTGTTGGACTTGATCTCGCAACCAACCTCCAACCATTATAGTTGTAATGTTGCTTCTCGTTCTCTTTTTTATAAATATTATAATCGACACTGCTCTAAAGAACTAGCGTCTCCTGTGCCATTTACTGAAATTCATTCTCGTTTTACTCATTGTTCAGTTAGGTTGCATCCTTTTACCGTGACTGTTCCTAAGTGGTCCAAAAATTTTAATTTGTCTAGTTTTTTTCCTTGAACATCAGTTCTTTGGAATTCCCTCTCTTCATCTTTTTTTCCTGATTTATATTATTTTCAATCTTTCAAGTTGTTTGTTAATCGTTATCTTGCTTTATAAACTTCATATTTTCTCTTCCAGTAACTTCCAACTCTAATAATGGTTTCTTGCAGCCTTGTTGGAAGTGAAAATGTTGAACAAAAAAAAAATTACAAAAAAATTAGTGTAATCTATGCCAAAACATTTTAATGCTGTTATAAAAGCTAAAGATATTAATTCTACCATTAAATATTCTTATAATAATATAAGCCTTGATAAATTTTTTTGGTTATGTTTCCTATTATTTTTTCCAGAGAATTCAGTCAAAAGGTTGATATGTTTACTTATTATTAAACATGCTTTCAAAAAATCCAAAGTACTCTCAAATGCATTTTTTTATAAAAATGATATTAACAACTTAAAACTAATCTTACTAAATCTTAAAAAAATAATTTACTAAATAAAAAGTTATTTTTTTATGAACAAAAAGTTATTTTTTTATGAACAAACTAGCAATTTTAAATAAAATTCACCACATAAAATGTGGTCACCATATAAATAGTGTTTTTCAAACACTGCATAGCAACATTTATAGTCACTATTTTATAGTTTTATACTTAATGGATTTTTGATCATATATTACAAAAAACTTTTATTTGATGCATTTAATAAAATTATTTTAAATGATAAGCATATTTCTATTAGTAAACAAAGTAGTTCAATAAAATGGTTATGGTGGATTATGGGTAAATAAACAGATTATTATTATTTTTATTAACAATAATAATAATCTGATAATTTTGTTAATAATAATCATAAAACAATAAACAATAAAATTGCTAGTTAAAAAATTCAAGTTGAAACAAAAGAATTAAAATGTATAACTTTTAAGTTCATTATTTTTATAAGTATTTTTTGATTTTTTAATTGCACAATAATGCATCTGCTCATTCATTGTTGCTGAAGAGAAAACTTTTGGCCAAAAATAACACCACAATCATCCCTCAGTTACCATATTCATCTAGTTTGGCTATGTAGAGACCTATAAAAAGATAAAGATTTACAACAATTGAGGAGATAAACACTGCATTACTGGATAAGCTCAAAGCTATAACTAAAAGTGCTTATTAAATTTGCTTCAAAAAATGGAAAAAACATTGACATAAGTGTGTTTTGAGTGACATGGAGAGGTGTTACTTTAAAAAAGTAGAAATAAAAGAATAAATCAATATTTTCTCATAGAAATATGAAGTCACTTAAAGTTTTAAGTGTAACTCGCAAATAAAAATAGTCACATGTATCTTTTTTTTTTTAGTTCCTGACGAGCCTTCAAGCTTTTTTTGTTTTAATGGTCGAGAAGATTCTAAGCATTTTATTTTCTTAAACTGGACTAAACCTCTATTTGCAAATGGCATTCTTTTGAATTACATTCTTTACAGAAATAATGATGAGATTTTTAAGAAATCAGGGGAAAATTTTAAAGATGAAGAAGAACTAAGTAATTATTTTTAATTTTGAGTTTGCTATATTTATTGTTGATTGTATAAATCTAAAAATATATTGTTTCATTTCTGTTTTTTTAGTTATTATTCAGTAATTAAGTTACTTTTGCTTGATGAATTATGGTTTAATAAGTTGTGATTTTAACAATTTAGAGCCATACACCCAATATAACTACACTTTAGCAGCTTCTACAATAGTTGGATACGGAAAAAACAAATCTATATCTTGTCAAACTCAGGAAGACAGTATTTTTTTAAATACTACTATTATTATTTTATTTTTTAATATGCAATGTTTGATTTAATTTTTGTTTATTTCATGTATATTAAAGTATATTAAAAATGTGGTTATGTAATAATACAAAATAATGATGACATAACTAATGTAAAAATGTCACAAAAAAAAGATAATACAGTCAAAATTTAATAATTCTGGAAAATGTTAGAATATATTTGACTTTATCTTACTTTTATGTTAAGGCCTTAATTAAATTATTAACAAAGATAAACAGTAAAAATAATAATCATAATTAAATAAATGATAATATTTTTTTGATAGTAATGGTAAAATAACCATGATAGTAATAGTTATAATGTTAATAATAAATATTATAATAATAGTATTAAGAAGTAGAAGAAGATAATGAAACAAAAATGATCTTTTTAAAAAATAGTAGTAATAAAAATGATAATAGTATTTTCACAACTAATTATTTAAACAATTTTTATAAATAAGTTTATAAAAACCATAATAAATAATATAAAGAAAAGTCTAAAATGATTTACTAGGATTTAATAAGACCATATATAAAAATAAATTTTTACATGTATAATAAATTTTTATGATTAACTTATTCGATTTTAATTAAAAAGATAACCTACCATTTCCATAATGTTGTGGTTTTGTATTGAATGGATTTTCGACAATATGTTACAAAAAAATGATTTAGTGCATTTTTTTTTTTTTTTATCTTTGCTTCCAATAAGGCTCCAAGCAACCACTAACTAGTGTTGGAAGTTACTGAAAGAGAAAAGATGAAGATTGTAGAGCAAGATAACGATTGACAGACGACTTTGAAGATTGCAAATTACATGAATCAGGAAAGCAAGATGAAGGAAGCGAATTCCAAAGAACTGATGTTCGAGGAAAAAAACTAGAATAAGAGTTTTTAGAGCACTTAGGAACAGTAACAGAAAAAGGATGAGACTTAATTGAATGACGAGTAACACGAGAATGAATTTTAGTAGGTAGCACAAGAGACGCTAGCTCTTTAGAGCAGTGTCCATTATAGTATTTGTAGAAAAGAGAAAGAGAAGCAACATTACGACGATGTGACAGAGGTTGAAGGTTGGCTGCAAGAGCAGGTCCAACTATGTTTACAATGCGTTTTTGCACCTTGTCTAAAAGAGAAAGAGCATCATTAGAAGATCCGCCCCAGATATGGCAACAGTATTCCATACAAGGCCGGATTTGAGATTTATAGAGATAGAGATAGAGAATAGAATCCAGAGTAAGAAAGTGACGAGCTCGATAAAGAGAAGCAACTTTAGCAGATGCTAATTTTGCAACGGATTTGATATAAGGTTTCCAAGCAAGATCAGAAGTAAGAGTTAATCCTAGAAGATGAAGGGTAGGAGACTCATCGAGTACATTACCGTTCATAAATATAGGAAGGTCTAAATTATTGCGATAACGATTGGCCGAAAAAAATTGAGTTTTATCTGAATTAAGGTTCACTAGCCACTGCGAGCCCCATGCTGTAGCAGAAGTGAGATCCTTTTCGAGCTCAGATGCCCCCTGCAAGCAATCAGAGGGAGTTGGCTTCTTATCGTGACAAGAATAAATGGTAGTATCATCAGCGAACAATGCCACCTTAGATGTGAGAATATCTGGAAGATCGTTAATGTAAATTAAAAAGAGTATAGGGCCAAGGATTGAACCTTGGGGAACCCCTGAGGTTACAGAATAAGAAAAAGACTGCTGTCCATCAAGGACAACTTTTATACTATGATTAGAAAGGAAGGATTCAATAATCTTAAAGTTTTTTTTTAGATACGCTATAAGAAGAAAGCTTATGGAGGAGACCAGCATGCCAAACTTTATCAAACGCTTTAGAAATGTCAAGAGCAATGGCCTTAACCTCTCCACCTTTATCTAATGCGCGATAAAACCTATCGGTTATTACTGATCAGCCGTAGAATGAGAAGGTAATAACCTATCAGTTATTACGAATCAGCCGTAAAGATCGAAATCCATATTGATGATCAGAAAGTAGGTTATGAGATTTAAGATGAGAGATTAAGTGTTTGTTAATTAAAGATTCAAAAACCTTGCTTATGATAGGAAGAAGACTAATAGAACGGTAGTTAGATAAGTCAGATCGCTCTCCAGAATTTTTAAAAACAGGGATAACAGATGCTGCTTTCCAGCAGGCTGGAAAACAAGACTCTGATAAGCACTTGTTAAATAGTTTAGAAAGGATAGACGACAGCTCCGGAGAACACTTCTGCAAGACTATAACAGGTATGTTGTCCGGGCTGCAAGCTGTAGAAGAGTCTAAGCGGAAAATCACTTTAGATACAGAAGCTGGAGTGTTACGAATGTCGAGCAATGGATCAACCTGTTTGACAGCTATATCAGGTAGAACGCAACTAGTGGCATCAAGAGATGATATTGATGAAAAGTTCTTGGCAAACAATTCAGCTTTGTCTTTAGGTGAGGTGACAAAGTCTGAACCATACAAAAGAGGTGGAATTACAGACTTGCCTTATTATTGATACTCTTAAAGATTTTCCAGAAGTCACGAGAGCCTAATTTTTGTGATGAAATACGAAATTTCATGATCTGAGACTAGCGGGCTTTGGCGTTAGACAAAACCTTTTTACAATGGTTCCTAGCAGTAATAAACAGACGTCAGCTTTAAGGTAGTTGTAAGTTGTACGATGATAGGGGGATTCTGATGGTAAAGAAGAATGAGATAGTTTTAGAGAAACCAAACCATGATCGGACGCACCTAAGGGTGAATGTGAAGAAACTGAGCACTGACTAGGATCAGAAACAAGACATAAGTCGAGTAGAGAAGGTAAATGATTCGGGTTGTCTGGAAAGCAAGTTGGAAAGTTGACTATTTGAGTTAGGGATTGAGAAAGGCAAAAGTTGTGGGCTTTAATGCCTGCAGAGTTACTGACACTAGAGCCAAGCCATTCAGTGTGATGAACATTAAAGTCACCGACAACAACAATATTGGCTGATGGATTAAGAATGAGGGCTTGGTCAATATAATCAGAAATAACATCAAGAAGAGTGCAGTCTTGAGATGAGGGAGAGCGATATAGAACAAAGAGAAAGGTGATAGAGTGAAGTGGTGCTAAACAAAAGCGCATAAAAGAGTAGTCTGTGGATTCAAACCTAGTTTCCTGACAAATGGGTGAATTCTTACGAATGAAAATGCCCAGGCCAAGCATGTGACTATTGGAGTCTTTACGAATTAAAGGAAGATAACCATCAACACTAAGATCACAAGATGAGACAGCTGAACTCAAATTAGTCTCACAAAGAGCAAGTAGATCTGGTGATCTTTGCAAGAGATAAGACTCAACAGAAGAAAAGTTACTTCGAAGACCACAAATATTGGTGAATGATAGGTTTAGCAAACTTGGTGATGACTGTGGTTTTTTGTGTTTTATAGTTTTTTTACTTTATTCATTTTCAAATTTGTTAAAGAACTTGACTCGAAACATTGATAGTACTCAGTACACTGTTCTATAGCTCAAGCAATAGCCTCATTTCCACTAATAAACCCTAAGCCGTAACAAAGGGCTCCAATGTGGCCTTGGCAATCCACACCAAAAGTACAAACAGGGACACCATCCATGCGCTACATGGCACTGTTAGTACTCTGATATTTTTCAGCTGTTGATGGAATCAGCCTCTCTGAGAGCTACCACAGAGTTCGGGAAACCTGACTACCAGCCGGCCTCAGAACCATAAAATTGAGTTTTAGAGCTGTACCCTCATTTGGAGATAATAGAATGAGTTGCCTAGTCATAAAAACAGAGGCACAAGCAAAACCCATGAATCGAGTCAAGAAGATCCAGCGTTAAACATCCTAAACTGGAAACAATGTATTAAAAATACATCTGAGCCTAACTCTGCAGGCATTAAAGCCCACAACTTTTGCCTTTCTCAATCCCTAACTCAAATAGTCAACTTTCCAACTCGCTTTCCAGGTGCCAGCCTAATCGATGAAGAAGGGGTGCGAGGCTGGTCAACAGATAGAATCTGTTTACCCCTTAAGTCTTTGCCTAGTAGGCCTTCTACAAGACAGCAGCCGGATGCATGTAACATCTGCCCAAGATGAGTATTTTTATCGAGACACCATCTCTAGCCTTTACTCAACCAAGAGCCCCAAGGCAGGGGGTATTTTATGTCAGAGTTTGCATCTCCTAGCCTTTGCCTAAAAAAGGCATATCCTACAAGGCAGCAGGACATGAAGCAGATTGTACTGGTTACATGTTACCAGTAGCAGGATGTACCTGACCTGACATAATTAAGATTATTTAATTGATAAGAGTTGATAACCATTTTTCTATTAGTAAACAAATAGTTCTTTAAATTTATTTAATTTTGTTTAAATGACATCGAGTCAGGAGTTTATTGTTATTTTTTTGTTTGATATAATTAAGTTCATTTCATTTAAAAATAATATAGAATTAAATTACTTATTTTTATTAGTAGTTTTTTATTTAAAATTATTAATTAATGTTTAGATAGAAATCAAAAATACATTTGATCTAAAAAGTTGTTATTAAAATATAAAAAAATGAATTAATACTAAAATATAAAAATAAGATATATATACAAAGTTTAATTTTTTATAATAATTTCTTTAATTTAATAATTACTTGTATTTAATTTTTTGAAGACATTTAAACTTGCATACTTTAAAAATTTTGATAAAAAAATTATATATATATATATATATATATATATATATATATATATATATATATATATATATATATTTATATATATATATATATATATATATATATATATATATATATATATATATATATATATATATATATATATATATATATATATATATTTCTTATTTGTAAATTGAATTCTTGTAAATTTTGTATATACTTTAAAATATAAATGTTAATATTTTAAAGATATTTTTGAAACATAAATTTATTAGTTTGAGTATCTTTTAAAGACTATTATTGAGTATCTTTTAAAGACTATATATTAGAAGACTAATAAAAAAAAACCTGTTTTTCATTAGTCTAGTCTATTTTCAAAGTGTTCTTTAAAATAATATATTTTTATTTTATTATGCTTATTATGTTTTTATTGTACAAAGATAGTATTTAATTATTTTTGATTTACTAATGTATTAATGATTTGTTTTTGTTTTACTGAGTTAATAATGTTTTTGTTAAAATAAGTTGTTATAACTAATAATATGTTTTTATTATGTCAAGATGCTAATTCTATGTTTCCTTAATACTAGTATGAGTTTTAAGTTTTATACTGTTTTGAAACTAAATATATATATAAAATTTTATTTTAGTCAAATCTATTTTTATAGTTTCTATTTTAAAATTGTGTTTAATGTGTAAATTGGGTTGAAATCCAGTTTCAAATGTTGTTTAATATCTTTTGTGATACTAAGATACTAATAGTATGTTTTCATTATATTAAGATACTAATAATGTTTTAGTTATAATGAGATACCAATAATATGTTTTCGTTATACTAAGATACTAATAATATACTTTTGTTATACTAAGAAACTAATAATATGTTTTCATTATACTAAGATACCAATAAATTGTTTTCATTATACCAAGATACTAATAATATGTTTTTGTTATACTAAGATACCAATAATATGTTTTCGTTATACTAAGATACTAATAATATGTTTTCATTATACTAAGATACCAATAAAATGTTTTCACTATACCAAAGTACTAATAATATGTTTTTGCTGAACTAAAATACTAATAATTTGTTTTCGTTATACTAAGATACTGATAGTATGTTTTTATAGTACTTGTATGAGTTTTTTTCTAGTATTAAATTTTTATAATGTAATACACTTAAAAATAATTAACTTTTTTTTCAAATTAAAATTATTTGACTTATTTGACATAAGCGTTATTTAGTTTTGTAAAATTATGTGCACATTTTTTTAAAATAAAAGTTATATTATAACAGTTTTTTCAGTGCACATTGGTTATTTGACTTTTTAATAAAACTTTTTTAAGTTTATTTTTAATTAAAACATTTATTTAGGACCAAGTAAAGTGGTTAGTTTAACTGCTTCTAAAATTACTCATTCGTCTCTATGTTTGGAATGGAGAAAACCAGAGAATCCAAATGGTGAAGTCATATATTCTATCACATGTAACACCTTTGAAAATAAAACAAAAAATTTGTATTATTGTTACAACAATTTGCATGCTTATACCAGATATCAAGTTTTTGTGTCAGCGTGTACATATGGTGGTGATTTATGTTCTGAAAAACAAGATATTATTGTTACTACAGATTTTACAGGTTTTTTTTAATTTATTTTTTTGATAAAGTTCAAATTATTTAACCTTTTTATAAGAAATAGATATTGCATAAAATGAATAAAATTTCCAAAACAAAATTGCCATTATGCAATTTCTATTTATAATAAATTGCTAGCTTCTAATGTGTTTTAATTCAGAAAAAATAAAAGAAAAAGAAAAAAGAAAAACTTTTTTATTTATAAATCTAATTTTTGTGTATATCATGCGGTAAATGCATTCAATATATTATAGTTTATTGTTAAATATTAAAAATGAATTTTTTTTTTTAGACCTATTTAATACAAATTTTGAAAATGGTTTAATATTGATTGAGAAAGTGTTTTTAAAGTGTTTTTTTTTTTTTTTTTTTGTGAATTAAAAACTAAACTTTTGTTTGATTTTTCAAGAATTTTATTTTATTTTTACATAGCAAATGTGTAAAATGAGTATACATTTTTTCGTATTTGACAATTATAATGAACTTAACAATTATTTGCTAACATAAAACATAAAAAAGTAACAATTAAAATAAATTAACTTTGATGTCTTTATACAAAAAAATTTCTTCTATATTCAGATTGATCTCTCAACTCTCCGGCTGGTTTTATTATTTCAAAGTTGATGTACCACTAGTTGATTAGGATTTACCAATGCACAGTTTTGAAACACTCATATATTTTCCAAGTTAGTATTGTTATGTAGCTTTACATAATAATGATGCAGTCAAATATTGGCTGCATCTTTATTATGTACAGTTGTACTAATAAAGTCAAACACTCTTTCAAATGTGTCACACAACTCTTTTTTGACACAAAACCTTTTGTTTTTGGATTGTGAGAAGTTTTTTAGTTGTTAGATGTTTCATCTACATGATTTTCTAATCCTGATTTTTCTACTGTCATTTGTTGTAACCAAAATTGTTACTCAAAAATAGATTTTTCTAAAAGGAAAGATGGTGTTGGTTAAAGTATTTTTGAATCATAACTCATATAAAATTTGAATAATACGAAAAAATTATTAAAACAAATGTGTATATATATAGATATATATTAGAATTAAAAAAAAAAGAAATGTAATTATATTTAAATCTGATATAAAGTTCTACGTCTTTAAATCAAGTTAAAATTTTTAATTGTGAAATTTGTGCAAAAATCAGAGTTAATAAGTTTGAACATAGACAGATGTCATATATTTCTACTAACATATGACTGATGTGAGTGAATTTGACCTATACTTACTTTCAATAAGTAGAGTGCTGTTTTTCTGAGGTGGTTTTACATTTGCTTGGCTCTATTGACTTGGTAAGGAACTGAAATTGTTAAATGATTGAAAGTGTTAAGTATTTTCTATTTGTTTTTATTGGTGTTTAGATTGCTGCATTTGTCTCACAATGAGTTGCACTCCAATTTCATTTTTGTTTTGATTTAACATTTGAAAAATCATTCTTCTAGATTTTTAACCTTATTTTATAATCTGGAAATTTTTTAATAAAATGACAATTGTTTATAGTATTGATAAAATTAGATTTGTATCCTGTTAGAGTATCCTGTTTTTCACTACTAGTTTATTTTCAATATATATTTTACTCTCACAACTACCATGATTTTTTTCTAAATAACTCATAACTGTTATTATATGGAACGTATATTTCTGTGAATTGTTTGTTTCTGAATAAAAATAATGTCAAAATTGTGATGAAAGTTGTTTAAAACTTTTGAATTTTTCTTGTTGCATTTGTATGATAGCAAAAGTAGTTTGAGATAAAGATGATTCAAGTTGAATGATAGTTTAAAGATGTGATGTGGAAAATGAGTGTGATAGAGTAGAAGTATAGTACAATAAAAATATTGTTAAAGGTATATTCTAAGTATAAGTGACAAATTTGAATGCATAAAATTTTTGATATATATTGGTAATAATTTGCCTCCCCTTAAGGCTAACTTTTACCAGGGTTAAATCGTACTTTTTACCTGTAGTAAATCTTTCAGTAATTCCTTAACACCTGCAGTTACAAATTGTTCATTTGTCAAAGTAATTTAAGATTGCGCTTACATCTTAGCAATAAATGCGACTAATAGTTTATGTATCTGCTGTCTTGTATATTGCTTGTATCCCCATTATCTACAAAATCTACACTACACTTAAATTGTTCACAATATAAACAACTTCCTAGCATGACTACTTATTCCTAACACTAATTTTGTGCATTTAAGATCAAATTTAACATAATACTTTACAGCTTCAAGCTGTAAAGTATTATGTTAAATTTGATCTTAAATGCACAAAATTAGTGTTAGGAATAAGTAGTCATGCTAGGAAGTTGTTTATATTGTGAACAATTTAAGTGTAGTGTAGATTTTGTGAAATTACAAGCTGCTTGTAATTTCAGAGACTCAATAGAAGATTACCATTAGCTCCTGAAACCCCCTCATTAATGTCTATAAGAAAAGTTCTATTTACTTCAGTATCATTAAGCTCTAAATCAAATAAGGTTTTTTTCTTAATGATTAAAAATATTTATAGCAACCTTAAGGAATTCTTGACCTGAATCCATATCCTTAATTGTTCAAGTGTATCACTAAATTAATATTGGCTAGAAAAGCCCTTTTAAAAAATAAGAAAAGTTTCAAGAAAATAGAGATAACCATCAGCTTAAAGTTAAATTAAGAAAAATATGAGAGAAATAAATTCTGGATTTTTTAAAGTTTTTTTTTGCAAAATGTTTTCAAGACTTTTTAAATATGACTTCTGTGATCATCTCTTATATTAAATATGAAATGATCACTGAAAGCATGTGGATTCTTAATAGTTTACATGTAATTCTGATGATTCTTACAAATAAGCTTTCTCAAATAGCAAAAGCTGGAATTTTTTTTAGGACAGTTGTCTTCCCCACATGAAATGTGACTGTCCTATTTATACTTATATATACTTTATACTTTATTTATTTATTTATTTGCTGTAGTGAGGATATGCTTAATGAATAGTTAACTCAAGTTTAAAAACTATTGTTTAACATTTAAGTCAAATAATAAAGTTAATCAATTTTTTTTAGTGCATCCATCCTCATCCATCAAAGCTCATACATTTGGTTTGATCTTTTAACATCAGCCTTTTTAGCCCTGAATGAAATACTTCATCTAGTAAAATTTTGCTGATTTTAACAATTGTATTAGTCTAGTAGTCTTATCAGCAATTACTTCAGCACCATAATCTAGAAAGTAGAAAGTTTAAGTTTAAATTTTTTTATATAGTTAAAAGAAAAGGAACTATGAAAAACTTGTTTGGTTCCCTGCTCATCAGTTGATATTTCATTTGATGCTCCTTTACGATTTTCTTTATGATTTTGCAAACATTGGATTAATCCTTGAATCTCAATTCCATAGGCATTACATCTTGCTCTTACGTCTTTTACCTAGTTTCAATCTCAGAAAATTTTGCCCAAATAGCATCTTTTTGTTGCCCTCCTTTTTTCATAGCAACTTTAATAACTTTAAGTTAATAAAGACTTAATTAAAAAGAGTTAATAATTTACACACTGTCAGTTGTCACATTGACAATAGTTAATTAGAAAATAAAATTCTGTAAAATAAATATGACCCTCTGAATTAGGGTCAGCATTTGGTAATGTTGACCTAGCAGCTGACCTGGCAGTGTTTTAAGTCAGCAGTATTTTTTTGACCTCAGAATTTTAAAACTTGATATTATTTGCTATTTTAAAAAATTAAAAATGGCAAAACATAGGCTTCTTTTAAATTTTAAAATAAAATAAAAAATGACTAAGCTAATTTTTTATTTAATAAATTAGTTAATAATACTAGTATAGTAATATTAACTAGTAATAATTATAACAGAAAAAAAAAAGTTTGATTGAAATTTGAATTCTAAATAGAATGAAATTAAAAAAAACCTAGCAAACTTTTTTTATAAATTCTGAATAAATTCACTTAAGATGCACAACATTAATACGAACATTTTATTTAATTAAATAAAAACATAGCTGAAAGATTGCTAATCTATTTAGCTAACATTATTATATTATATAATTATATGTAAATCTATATAGCTATTAGAGATTGAAAAAGTATAAAAAATAATTGAAAAATCAAATTAAGATCAAATTTCAAACAAAATCATTAATTTAATTAACTAATTTTATGCATTTGATTTAATCAACCATGAATTGATTTTTTTCTGATTTATGGAATTGTGTTAACTTTATTATTTTGTTTGCTTAAATTAAAGAATTAATTTCTTTCCATTCAGGTTTAAGTTCTTTTATAACAAGGCAAGATTTACTCAAAACCCTGGAATAAGCCTGGGAATGATTGTTTTTTTAGTGTAGTTTCAAGCATTTATGCATTGTGAATAAGTTTGAAAAGTTAAAATATCCAAATAATTAATCATTGTTTCTTCATTTAAAACAAAATAAATTTTAATAAATTAAAAAATTATTCTAATTTTTTATCATTATCACTTTTTATCCTTTTTTTTCTTTATTCTAATATCTTCTTCTTCGTATTATTATTATTTATTTGATTTGTGGAAAAGTTATATAAAATTTTAAAAACGACAACATTCGCATTTAAGCAGTTATGTTTTCTATAACTGAAATTTTTATTAGATCAGTTTTTGAAATTATTATTATTTTTTTTTAAATTCATTCAAATTAATTTTTTGAATGTTAAAAATTCCTTTTCGTAGGAAGTTAATTGATGCAAATTCTGTTTTTTAAAAATTTACAAAATTTCTTGTTTTCAATTATTACTATCAGATAAAAGATAAAGAAATGTATTGCCACTCGAAATTACATAAGCCTTGTAAGTAATAATGTAATATTTTTGTCAAGAACAGTTATTTAAAATCGTGACTTCAAATCGTCATTTTATAAGACCTTGTTAAAAGCTTACCTTGAATCATCACTTTACTTACTTAATAAATTTTCTTTTAACAACCCTTTATTAAAATGCCTTTCTGCGATTGACCCAATATCTCACAAAATTATAGTGAGAATGCTAAAAAAACTCCCACTTTTTTTCCCACTGTAGGTATAAATTAAGTAATATTTAATTGAGAAGTTATGCAGCTTCATATAGATATAGCGCCTCCACCTGTATTTGCTGATAGAAAGCCCATGTGCCTTGAAAATTTAAGGATAGAAGTCTTTAAGTGAAATGAATATTTCGAGTTTAGTAAAATTAGCAAGGCATGTCTAAGTATAATTTAAAGTCCTGAAATGTTGAGCAATGATTCAGCATGATGAACACCGTAGTCAAGAAAAAGTGGAATTCCATCGGAAAAACAGAAAAATTGAAGAACGTTTTCTAAATATAAATTTAAATGATTTATAAAATCGTCCTAACTGAATTTTAAAAAAATCTATATTTATAAAATCGAAATTTATAAAATTCTAAATTTATCAAATCGTCCTAACCGAATTTTAAAACCAGCTATACTAAATTTAACAAATATTAATCTGGATAAAGCAACTACTGAACTACTTAATCTTGGTCCAAAATTTGTCCCAATACAAAAGAACTTTCCTTCTATGGACATGATCACTAATATTGAAACTTGCACCTTAGAACTCGAACAACAAAATAAACAAACACAGACAGAGATTCTTTGACAAAACTGTTCCAAAATTCTAACCAATTCTTTAAAATTAAGAATAAAAGATAATTTAACAAAACAGCAATGCTTTTCTTTACAAAACCTGAAAAAATATTCACATCTAAAGATATATCCATATAACCCTCTCTCAACTCTATAACTCCGAAACACGAACCTTGATGAACAAGGTAGCTGCGCGGAGAAACGAGTTGAGCGCGGTACTACCAGGGACGTGGTGGGGATCGAACTAACCATCCGTACCAGTTAATGAAGCAATTCCTGTTATTATTAACATATTGAACGATGATTTTGAAGATTTAAAAACTAGGACTAAATTAAATCTCATAGATATACATCAATTAATTGAACTATCATTAAGTTACTTTTTATACGAATATAAAATCCGAATTTTACCTAATTCAGGTCCAATTGGTTTGTCATTGATGGTCGTCATAACTGAAGCATTTTTGCTAAGTATAGAAAAAAGGGCACTTGATATAGCCTTAGTTAGTTCATTCCAACCAATAACTTACAAAAGATATGTGGATGATAGCCATGCTCGCTTTGATTCAAAAGAAAAGCAAGAGTTATTTCTTAAAGCTTTAAATGAACAAAACCCCTCCTTAAAATATACCGTTGAACTTGAAAACAAAAGAAAACAACTTAATTTTTTAGATATTTGTATTACAAATACAATGAATGGATTTTATGAGTTTTAAGTACACCATAAGGATGTGATAACAAATGTTCAAATAAAACCAAACTCCAACATCAACCCAAGCATAACCACTGGCGTCTTTAAAGGTTTTTTATGTCAAGCAAAACAAATCTGCTCTCAAAAATATCTCTCACAAAATTGATTTCCTCATAAATACATTTTTTGAAAACAGCTATAACAAAAATAATCTAATTAAAATAACCAAAAACTATTTAGACGGCATTTCAAAAAACACTACATCTAATCAATTAGATTAAAAGTTTGTTAAACTACCTTGGATACCTATT